TTTCTTCTTTTTGTCAAACAGAATACCTAAGGTATGTGTACGCTTGTTACATACAAATGTCGCCAGATCACAGGTGTAAACCCAAAAAGGGCCTACTAGATAAATCTTACACACCATTGTTCATACATAGGCTTTACATTCCTTGCTCCGCTTACGCATTCGTAGTACAATGATGGATTTGGGTTGACTTTCACTACCTAATATGGGCTACACTATAGCCTTCTAATGTCTACTACCTTTTAGCTGGGCAGGCCAGTCCTCACGAACCCCGGTTTTCAATCCATTTGTTTCCCGATGTTTATTTTTGAGTATTTTTAAGTCTCTAAAGTGCGGTATGTATGGTTGCACGTCCCTTTTCTGTATCCGCTGTGCAAGTAAGACGATATCGCAGCAGCAGGATTTAATCCTCACCTTGATGGCCGCGTGTTTGTTATCAGTTACTTGCACCTTCAGCTCGCTTACGTCACGGCTGCTCTGGAATGCCACCTCGTCAGACGTTCTTGTAGCATCATCAGGCATGTATCTCCACCCCGTATTGGGAGGAGTATAAAGGGCCATCGAAGTAGTACCAACTGTATACATATGTTGCATGCTTGTACGTACGTACAGCTTATATGGGCGGCACTGCAAGATTCAGACCGTTGGTAGCATCTAGAATAATATTATTAGATAAAGTACAAATACTTGAAGATGCATACTAACTACCTAACTCTCTTATAGTCTGCTCCGCAGCTTACCCTGACTAACAGACATATTACCTAACTTATTATATATAAAAAGAACACACACAGACAAATAGGAGAAGAGAACAAAAAGAAACTTCATAATTTCTCGTAGGGAGAGATCATAGAAAAATGAATGAGTGGTCAGTATGGGGGTCGAACCCATGGCCTTCGCATTACAGTGTACAGATGGCTCTGTATTAGTACCTGTGGTGGATTAGTATATATTTACAGGACTCGTGCGACTTGTAGGGAAGACATACGACGCTCTAACCAACTGAGCTAACCGACCGCGGTGGAGGAAGGGCGAGATATCTGTGTTATTTATATGCCTGACTCTGCTTAGGTTGCAATAAGACTGTCATATATTATATAAAAGGCAGCTAAATATCGAAGGGTAGGTACTACAAGTTTCTGCGCATTCTACTCTGCCGGGAAGAACTCTGTGGTAATAAGGCCGTTGAGAACTACCATCTGTGCTGAGATTGGCTTGGGTATGGCATCGTTGGTACGAGCCCTCCCTAAACATCGGCTCCAAACTCGGGCACGGAAACAACCACGATCGCTAGTAGTAGCATCTCTGATACGAAAGCCTCTTCTGCCTCGCGAGCCGACGGCACTTCGAGTAGATTAGACGAAGAAAACGACACTAGGGCGAAGGCTAGCTAGCATAGGGGTCGGTCGGAGCAGCGGTCGGCAGGGTCGTCGTTATATGCCCCGCGTATAAATAATACAAACATCGCAACGCGAAGCATGTTCCATAGAACGCTCAAGGGCATGGATACAGCGCATATCAGTATGTATGTATGTATATACACCTAGAATACTAGCTAGTAGTGTCGAAATATAAGCCAGAACCACTACAAGAGCTCTTGTGAAATTATAGATTCCATGTTGGATCAACCGGCTTCTCCCCACAGAACTATGTCGTAGGAGGCGAGCAGGGGTTAAAAGATAAAAAAGATTCAAAAAGAAGAATCTGGTCAGTATGGGGGTCGAACCCATGACCTTCGCATTACTTAATACAATGGAAGCTGTATTAGTACGACGCTCTAACCAACTGAGCTAACCGACCACTCGTGGTTGTTAAAGGACGCTTGGGTAACCAGCTAGATGCTGTACAGAAAATTGTAAAACCCCTCAGTTGTTGTGCGAGCTGCCCCGCTCGTTCAAATTACTCGGTGTGGTGGTGTGACGGTGTAGTGGCGCAGAGTCAAGTAACTAGCCGATCCGCCTCACCTAAGCTCCGGTTTTACGCCGACAGACCCTGAAACTACATATATTTACGATTAAGCTTTATCGGCGTTTATTTGTTTGGATGCCGACTCTTGTATTCCCTGTTGCCGCATAGATCAACTCACCAACTTATTCACTACCATCCCCTATCTAGCTAGCTGGGTCAACGAGGCGCATAGACGCTTTGTACTAGTCCCGAAACCACGGATCATTTGCTATGTCCTCGACCGAGGATCTTAACGAAGGTTCTAATTTCAACATTCGTCTCACGAGGTCCCCGATCTTGATTCTGTCCTCCTTCGTGAGTTCGCAGCGTCGGTCTTCGTAGAGATACTTCTTCCAGCCACTCTTGCAACGTAATAGAAGGGCCGTCATTATCATCAGGCGATTTTTTCTTCATGTCTTGCCATTTCTCTTCCCATCTTCTGGGTAGTTTGTCGCTCGCGAACTCAATCATTTGTGGAATTAAAGTAGGAGGAGTAACCATGCAGTTATCAAAGCGTGGCTGGCCGGTGAATAACTCAAAGAGCTAGATTTTCCAATTAGTACACCTAACCACTACTCTAGAGTAATGGCATACATACCAAGCAACCCACACTCCACAAGTCGACTCGAAGATCTATAGGCTCTCCAAATAAGGCTTCTGGGGCCCTTAGTACAAGAGGAGTGTGCAATGTATCAGGGGGTTGATCTTCGGTGAATGACTCCCCAAAGTCAATGATTTTAGCAATAGGGAAGGATGATAGCCTCTTGAAGATATCCTTTTTTGTGAATGTAGTTGGCCAGACAAGGTAAGGCGGCACATGACTTGACACCATTGAACCGTCGAGGCTCTTCACCAAACCAGTTTCAGGCTGTCCGAGCATACGTAGAAACTCGTCCTCGGTTAGAGAATCGACATTTGGTATTGCGAATGCTATATTTCGAGTGTGAATATCTTGAAAAGGGGCGTTAGCTATACTGACTGGAATACTCTTGCTCCGTACTACTAACTTACCCCCATGTCCGATCTTCTGTTGGGCAAGAAAATCGATGGCTACTAAGGCCTGGTGCGCAGTGGATTTGGCCAGTGACGCAGGAAGTCTTTCGTCCTGGTAGGTAGACTCGATGACTTGTGGTACGCTAGGCCCTAGCAATTCTAAAACAAGGCATTGATGCAAGCCATTAGGCCCTTCAATATTAAACCAGTCGAAAAACTGGACAATGTGTTGTTGTCCAGGGTGGGTATCCCTTGGAAGAGAGGAAATCGATTGCAAGATCCGGACCTCACGACTATCCTCCTTCTCTGCCACAGAAATCTTGACCGCGACGTATCGTTGGTCCCTACAGATTCATCAGCTAACGCATGAAGACGGGGTTCTCATTGTATGACTTCTCTTGCTTACATCCGGTCGCGAGCGGCCCAGGTAGTAGAGTAGCCGCCCCATCCGACCTTGTGAAGGATCTTGTATCTCCCATTCTTAAGCTGATCACCAAGTTTGATAGGATGATAACCACCAGGTTGATACCGATAGATAGGCTCAGCATCAACACTGCAGATGTGACTCTGTACTGCCATTTGAGAAATGCATTGGTGGTGATGGCCAGATAGGGGGGCGATTAGCGCCGCTAACCGGGGCCTAGGAATAGAATAACGGCCGTCTGCGAGACCCTACGTAATATAAACATACTATTGATATTTTCGTAGCTATATCAGAATGTAGTATGTTATTTATTTAGGATCCGGAGGTTAAAGACGATAGATTTCTCTCTCTAGTCTGGAGAAGTAGAAGCGTTGTGCATCTTAAAAAGGAGAGCTTGTTTAGGTACTTTTTATTCCCTACACACGCCAATTAACACCACTATTTACATAACACGTGGGACCTAATTAGTGAAATTATATTTTAGGCCTGATAGGTAAGTAAGAGGTAGGTAACTAAGACATGAGTACCAGTGTGGGGGGTACGAGATGTACTGTACGACCAGGACCCTCCTTACATATCAGTTTAATAGCTACTATCTATTGGCTAATATCTGGTCTAGCAGTTAAGCAGCTAGTAGTTTAATAAATTTGTTGGAATTTATTAAGGATATTGTTGTTCTAGAGGTTAATTTCCTATAGAGAAGACTTGGGATCGAGTGAGGTGGTCCTTGACTCTGTGGCATGACCAAGATATTTCTCCTCCCTGTTTCGAAATGTGCCAAGTCTATAGTGTAGACAGGTAATTACGGGGTCAGGTGATAAAATGACCAGACCATATAGAGTGGTTATATCTATAGATTTAGCTAATTATATATAAAGGATGTTCAGTCCCCCCTATAAATCTAGAAGGCCAGGAATAAATTGATCTTTCTATTGGGCCCTATACTACACCCTCCTACACCCTTCTCCCTAGCTGCTACAAGACTCCTATTCACCCTGTGACCTTCTCCTGACATACGGTTTATGGTTCCTGACTGAAATGATCACAGGAACCCTTCTCATACAAGGCCGACAGATGATCAAATGAAGGAAAACAAGTCCCAGGTAGTGCACATATATCATACTAAAAGTGGAACCTATACAGCTCATATTCTTTATTCAGAAAGGAGAAGAAAAACTAGTAGTAACTGATAAATGTAACGCAGGTGTAATTAAATAAGATAGTCAAGGCTAATATATAGCCTATTTAAGGAATACTACAGGATGAACTTAATGAATACAGGCTTATAAAGCTACTGATTATTTATTATGAAATAGCAATGAAATCAAGGTACTTTCCTCTATATTGTTAAACTATTAAGTCTTCCCAATGTCAAAGCAACAAGTGACTAAGGCTCCTGTCACAGAACTAGACCTCAAGGAAATCAGGACTATATGGTACGGGTCTCATATAAGGTAGCATAGTCAATCCTGTCACTTCAAACTTCTCACCTTCTGCAATAACAAAGTCATTTCTGATGTTACCAGTAGTCTGAATGTGATATATCTAAGCTTGACAGCCAGGGCTAAATGTGGTTAGATACACGGTGTTCCGACAACCCCATCGTTGTCATATGAGATATCCTCGACACCCACCCATCGGTCCCATAGCTCAGTTGGTCAGAGCGTCGTACTAATATTATAACTACAATTGTAACATGAGTAATGCGAAGGCCGTGAGTTCAAGCCTCACTGGGACCATCGGTGTTCTTTTTCTTTATTTTACCCTACAATAGTTGGCGTAAGGATTCCTAAGGATGAATGATGGCAGTGAAAGAAACGGTGTTGCCTTACTACTTCATTTTAGTTAGTAGCCTATGATATATAAAAGAACGAAAGCCTAATATCGTGCGTGTAAGAAAATTTAAACGCATGAATGGCTCTATTCCTACCAATATTAGTGCTCGCTTCCCCGAGGTTGGCGGCGCTACTGGCAAAAGGGGGTGAGACTGCCATCCTAAGAAGGCAACTAATTAGCGTGAGGAGTTGAACCAGATAGGTAAGTATAAAAGTTTTTATTGTAACTATGCCTTTAAAAAGGGTCAAATTGGCTGTGGAACATCTCAAGTTCTAAGGAAAGATATATTCGACTAAGCACACTAAATATGACTATCCCATAATACGTCACTATAAGATGGCTTTTATGGTGCATGGTAAGCCTCGAGGATTAATATCATCAATCCACCAGCTCTTCTAGCAAGCTAAGAATGAGTACTAATTTTATAAGTAGGTACGCATAGCGGTTCTATTTAATACAAATACTCTTAGGGGTCTATTAATCAGATGGGCTTGTTAGCTTGTCTACGATCTATACTAATTATATAAAAAAACAATGTGCTTTTCATTTTCAATATATAGTAGTTATTATCATTACAAGTGAAAGAGAGTGCGGAGTATTCATCTCCCAATTTCGTATCTACCCGTAGACGTCCATACCACGCATGCCTTTTGCGTCACATCCCAACAAGCAAAGCTGCCTTACTCCCAACATCTCAGAAGCAAGCGGCATCTTCCCCCCCTTACTTAGTAACACCCATGCAGGCAAAGTACTCCTTAAACGCGCCGACCTCAACCGCCAGCACGCCCTCGCGGTCGAGCAGCGACGCGGGGCGCCAGTACTCGGGCTCGACGCGCGTCAGGATGCCGGGGTAGCTCGTGAGGCCGTGCGGCTCGGTGACGCCCCACGGGTTGCGTAGGATAATGTACTGCCGGTCGCCCTGGCCGACCGAGGACCACCCCAGCACCGAGTAGGCGTGGTTCGCCGCGAGGTTGCACCCGCGGTACGTGCCGCCGTCGGTGGCGTGCGTCCACGCCACCATGGGGCAGATGGTGCGCTGGTTCACGCTGCAGCCGCGCACGAGCCCGATCAGCTCCGCCGCGCGGCGCGAGGAGGTGAAGTAGTACTGCGGCTCGCGCCCGTTGAGCTGCGCCATCGCCTTCACCGGGTCGCCGTTGTGCGTCTGCGTCATGTCCACGTACTGGCTGTTGCTGCCGCCGATGGCGCTCCGGTTGTGCTGCTGCTTGTTCTCCTGGCCGCCGCTGATCCACTTCGCGAAGGCCTTCTCGTACAGCGCCGGCCAGAGCGCCATGCCGTCGCTCGAGCGGCAGTACACGAAGTCCTCGCTCGAGTTGTTCACGGGCACGCGGTAGTCGACCTCGACTGTCTGCGTCTTGTTGTTGTTGCGCCCGCCCTGGTCGTAGAACTTGGCGCTGAAGCGGTGCCGCTGGTGCTGGCGGCCCTCGTCGTCGTTGTCGCCGCCGGCGGGGCCGTAGTGGTGGCGCCCCCGCGCCTGCAGGTTCGTGTTGCGGTTGAGCGCCGCCGGGTCCGCCCAGTACACGGAGAACAGCGCGGCGACGAACCAGCTGTTCGCCGTGGCGCCCTGGATGGGGTCGTCGAACTTACGCACCGCCTGGTACTCGCGGGACCCGCCGTAGTCGAAGAGTGTGTTGTAGTCGGAGATCATCCCTCGTCGCATGTTGCGCATTATGAGGACCTCGCGGGCATCGCGCCAGGAGCTGTTAGGGGGCGTGAACGAATCCTTCTGTCGGTTATCACGTCGAAAGGGTAGGCAGATGTCATTGATCGTCTGCGTCACCTCTCGATTGCCCACCGTTTGGGCGATAGTATTAGCATGCAAGACGAGGTGTAGCTTATTGTTTAGGATGCCAGCTCGCTTGATGCGGATATTGCCCATCTCCTTCATGCCGATGTCCTCGAGATCGCCGAGCCTTTCTAAACGGCTCAGGTCCGGGGTGACCAGACTATAAAAATTCAGCTGTTAGAAAGTTACCGTATAGATTATAGTGACCACATGATTCACTCTTAGGGGCTTCAGGAGCAAGTGGGAGAAAGGCCTTTGCTAAAATGGAGAATAGGTGAAACTCGGGAATGCATACTCCTTCTCCTTCAAGATCTTCGTTTCCCCTTCCTCAAGTTCTTCTGCCGTGCGCTCCTCCTTGTTCAGCTTGAGACCGGCGTAAAGGACCGAGTGGTACTTCATGTCGAAAAGCTCCTCATAATCGGTCTGGAGAGTATCCTGGACGATTCGGATCGCAGTGATAGATTGGCGATCAATCTTATGTCCGATCATGTTCTCGGCTAGAGCAAATGGGTTGATACAGCCAACAGAGACATCATCTGGTCTGGGGTCTGGGTTTGGCTCGTCCTGTTTCTTCGAGCGACATACGCGAATATCGCTCAGGTCATCGTACCCCTCCGAGGCTGGACGAGAAGGCAGAGAATTTCGTTCCAGTCGCCTTCCTGTAAGTGCCTCAAAAAGCACATATGGGTCAAGGGATCCAGAAGGGGGGCCGTTGACAGGAGTTTCGGAACGCGAGCTGTATGAAACCATCTTGGTGATATGAGATTAGAATTCTTAGATCAGCTGTAGTGTAATTAGATAGTACCTAGTAGAGATAACTAACAGGGGAGTGTTAAGGATCGAGAAGATAAGATGGATGAATCAAGAAGGACGAGCGCTTTTTATAATATAAAATTGTCACTCCTTTCTATATTTTGGATAAGTAGGCATAGCCGCCCGTTCCGTTCTCCTGACCTCACGGGTTCTAGCTGCGACTGCTCTTACTCAGACGTGGACTCAAAGGTGAGATGCTGTCCAAAGGAGTCACATATTCCTTACCGCGCTCGTATGATGCGTTCCGCAATAGAAGTTCGCTGTTGTAGGTTTTCCGTTCTGCCCGATTGAAGTTTCCGTTATTACCCCTGAGGCCAGTAGATGACATGAAAGCTCATTTGGTCGCATTAATCATACACTGTTGATACTTAATGAAGTTTATTAGTTGCCATTGAACATCCTTGAGAGACTAGATATGTCTGTCGTTCAGAGACTCAGAGTGTTGCATGGGTCTGTCGGATGCTTGATGGGATTGCCTTGTCACTGCATATACACCCGTCATTCGGACTTTGAGATGTCAAATCTTAAAAGTCGGGCAACGTAAGGTTCTGTCAAAAATTGGGGTTTTAGGGGGTTATACTTCACAAATGTAGGCATCTCTAGGTTTGTTCCCCTGGGACTTGGCTGATTTCTTCTCCTTCATGTAGGTTCTCCCCGCCAGGGCGAAAACATCTAGCCTGTCAGCCTTCACAGAGACGCCTGGTTGTAGTTCAAAGTAAGGCATTGGAACCCGTGCAATATCTTGTTATAGAGCCAACATGTATTCTCTAATAGCAGCCTCGCCCATAGCGCACTACTAGAGATGACGCCGTGTGGGTGGTGTCTCTTCTATTAAGATATCCCTGTGGTCTAGAGTAGTCGATACAGCAAGCGCTGCATGCTGCAGTTTAGTCAAACCCTATCCACCATGACAGATGATTATCCGAGGATTGCGGCTGTTCCACATGGAGGGGATAAGCTATAAGGTCTTGCTCTGCTTAGAGCAAGGTATGTAAGTAGAGAGGCGGGACAGTGCATTTAGACAATGACCTCATAGTGACTGTGAGTCCTTACTCCTATTACATACATTTTACTCTATTAGAACTCACCAATGAGCGCCACAAGGCTAGCAATATTAGACTGTATTGTAAATAACGTGTGCTGACATACTAGATAATGGTTTCATAACGCACCGTCGATAGCCGCATGGCATACTATTTCAATACTAGGTAATACCGCATAATCTCCAAAAATCACAGAGCACCGATCACGCGCACAAAGTTAAATGGCTGGCTACTTAGAGAGTACGTTTTATACTTGTCTGAAAGAATGATGAAAAAAAGGGGGGAAAAGAAAAAAAATGAGAGCTGCAGGATTCGAACCTGCGCGGTTTCCCACCGCGGGTTTACGGTAGGCCAGGATAAATCCTGGAGATTACCTAAACACGGCGCCTTAACCACTCGGCCAAACTCCCGTAAAGATGATGTTGGATATGGTATCAATAGGAGGAATTGAACCTCCAGCATGGACTCGCGGGGAATCGAACCCCGGACCACTCCCATGCTAAGGGAGTATTATACCACTAAACCACAAGCCCCGAGAAGTAATGAGCTTCTTGTATGGATTCGCGGCTCGCTAAAATAGTACGTGTTACTCTCGTGAGTCGGAGGTTGTGGATAGAGTCTAGTGTGATATTACTAGGGCGGGCAGAGGCGGGTGACTATTCTGTAACAGTATGCGTAGTGGATAGATAGATGCCAGACTAAACGCTACTGTGGGGAACACAACCACATCTCTGGCCTCTATCTAGTCTAGTCCAGGAACTGTCTCGAGAACAATCAGGTTGGAAACCCAAAATTCACCTCGAATACAGCTGTTTAAAATAACCTACGAGATAGAATGAATGGGCCCAATTTGTAGATCAGCTACTGTGTCCCCCGCGCGAACGAAGACGGGTTCCTAGCTACACATAACCCAAACTAAACGGCTAAGCCCTTCTCTTGCGTTCTCGCGCATCGAAGAGAAATATCTGTCGAGATATGTAGCCTGGCTCGGCCGAGAAACTAAGTTTGAAAAGGATCAGTAGCCGTGCTGTCATAATGAGTAGAATAAACCAGGGGAGCTTCGCTGTAGTGGCAAACATACGTATTACTTGGCCTGCGGGCAAGCGATACGGAACTCTGTCTTTGAGCTCTCCCCAACGCAGTGTAATGTGTGTGGATGAGAGTGAGATAAGCGCGCCCCTGGGTTGTAAGACACAAATGGGGCAGGAAATATGTCCCGTGTGGCAATCTAGACAATACCTGC